CTTCACGTTTCTGAGTTAATACATCTGGAATAGGCCCAAGAATCTGTATCTCCAAAAATCTGGCAGGCGACTTCAGCCAAGTCAGGAAAGCCTAAGAGCAGGAGGAAGCTCCAGGGTAGGGGACACTTAAGAGGGGACAGGATGGCCTATGGTGTCCTATTCAAGTGTCCCACAGAACTTAGTATCCACCATTAACACCTTTGCTCAAATTAGTTCAACAGAGTGCTTACCAAACTTCAGGGAATCTGATTCCCACCAGAAAAATTTTGATGGTCCCCATAAATTGCTGCTCCTTCTTTGGAAATCAACCCACACCAATGAGTCATGGGCATCCGTGGGCACTTGGTCATGCCACTCTGGGGGGAGATCCACCTCACTACAGGACCTGTGGCTCTTGGAATCACCTGTTAGCACTTGTGCACTTGTACTGTCAATCCCCAATTGCTTCCCTCAGACTTGAAATACAATAACATTGGAAAGCCCATAATGCCCTATCCATCTATCTATCTGCTTATCTACCTAATGTTCCACACTATAAATGACAAAATATTTCTACAGTATACATATTTTCATTCTATAGGCAGTCAAAAGAACATTAAAAACAAACACAAGCCGTCCATATTTTTGTTTGTTTTGTGACTTCTTTTTCCCCCTGCTGGGGAGACCAAACAATGCACAATGCACAGTTTAGCAGGCAATTCCTGTACCATAGCCCCACGCATACTCTCGTTCTGGAAAAGAGTCAGACCAGCTCAGCTGCCCTGTGGCTGTCCCCGTGGGTGCTGGCACTGCCAAGACTTTAACTGTAATACTGTGTGCTGTGGACGCTGCAGGGCCAGGTCAGGTCCAGCAGAGCACTGTGGCTTTCATTTTGGCATGGGGACAGGGGGCTGCTGGGAAGGTAGGGGAGACTATTTTGGGCATGGCACGCAGTGACAAATGGAAACAGGGAAACCAGAGACAGACAGTTTTCCTCTGCCATCTGAACAATAATATGGTGCATCAGGCTGAAAGGAAGAGGGAGAGTCTCATGCTGGGAAACTGCTCCTATGCTGATCAAAACAGAAGGAGGAAGAGGAGACTGGGGTGTAGAGAAAATGCTCTGGTAGGTAGGATTTACAGACAGAAAACCCAATGAAAGACTTTTTTGTTTGTTTGTTTGTTTACATAAATAGCAAAATGCAAAACAGCTTTAGTCTTTGTTCATTTATCTTGTCTTACAGGTACTAAGATTTATTAACTTGCTCAAGCTAAACAGCTTGTGCTTTGTGTAGCATCACTCTGGAGCAAAGCGCTGCTTCCTGGAACTCTCCCCAGATCACTAAAGGCAAGTCCAAATCCTCCAGAGTGGTCCCTTCTGTCTTCTTACGGTCATGGCCCTCCCTGCCATGGTGTGCCTTCTCTTCTCTGAAGGAGAGAAAAACCTAGCTCAGTGGGCTCCAGCCTCTGGCCAGTGGACACCGCAAATTCCTTGAGATTTACATATGCAGCCTTTTCTTCTTGACCTTAGTGTTTTTCAGGGAGTTTATATGTTCTTGGGGTTTTTTTTAGAGGGGGGTTGTCTTTATTTTTACCTATTCTTCCCAGGAAAGTCTCTAGAGCAGTTGAGAGCAAATAAAAGTTCTAAATATCACCCACCCTGTGCCCTGTTTCAGTGGCCTTGCATCAGCTCAATGTTTGAGAAGTATTTCTTCCTTCATTTCCAGTTTCACAGGAAATAGAGAAAACCTGGAAATTAATACATATGGTAGCCTCCGCACTCAGTCCAGCCTGCTCCAGCTTTTTTAAAACTTTAAATCCAGCTCTCATCTATTTATTATTTTTATACTTAAAACACAGACTGCAGCATAAAGAAAAAAACACATCTTTTCCCTATTAGTCTAACTGTCTATGAGCTCTCACACAGGTTTTCCTCAGTAGTACAGGTGTCACCAGGTGAGCTGACTCCATGAAGTGAGGACAACAGTTATGGGATGGAACTGGGAAGACTGGACTTTCACTCCACATTTTCCACAGCCTTGCACTGTGACCTTGGGAAAGCTGTATTCTTTAAACCTAAAATCTCTATCAATAATTAAGCATTTATTGAAAATCTACTCCATGCAGGGTAGACAGGGAAATTGCTAGCATCACCTCTCAGGTCCTTTTTTAAATGATACAATGTAGCAAGCATTATGCAGGGACATGAAAAACAGTGCCAGGGAGTTGGGAGGAAGAAGATCTGTCCCACCCTGCCTGCTTGCAGAAAGGCAAATCGATGAGGAAATATTCATCTCAAAAGTGTATCCTTTGTAAGAGCAAGGGCTGTGTCTTACTTGTTGCTGTACTCCTAGCACCTGCAGCATCAATGGTGTTGGGTCATAATCACAGGAAAACCATAAAGATAATTAAAGAGTAGTGGTTGCTAAAGGCTGCTGTGAAGCATGAGATAAAGGGGTAGACTGTGGAGGAGGATTTTCAGGGTAATGAAACTATTCTGCATTATGTTATAATGGTGGACATATGTCATCACACACTTGGCAAAACTCATTGATGGTACAACACCAAGAGTGAACCGTAATTAAACTATAGACTTTGGTTAATATGCTTTTGGGTAATAATATGTGTCCATCAAAATGTAGGACTTTGATTATAAAGGACCCTGTGCATGTGCAGAGGAACTGGTGCATGGGAACTCTACACTATCTGATGGAATCTTTCTGTGAGCCTCAAATTGCTCTAGAAAAGTAAGATTTGTTTTTCAGCTAGGCATATGACATAAAGAGACCTATCTCTAAAAGAAGATATCCAAGTATCTAATAAATAAATGAAAAGCTAATCCATTTCATTAGTCATTAGGTAAATTCAAATAAAAACTGCAGTGAGAAATCACTTTATAGCACTAAAAGGATAAAAAAAAAATGGAAAAAAGAACCCCAAAAATAAGTTTAAGAGCCAGGGATATAGCTCAGTGGAACAGTGGCTGCCTGGCAAATGTGAGGTTCTGAGTTTGATTCCCAGCTCAAAAAAATAAAAATAAAAATAAAAATAAAAAACCAAACAAAACAAAACAAAAAAACAAGTGTTGCTGATGATAGAGAGAAATCAGAACCCTTATGCATTGCTGGTGAGAAAGTAAAATGTTAGAGAAAAACGTTTGGCCATTCATCAAAAGGTTACACATGGAATTACCACACTACCCAGCACTTGTTTGCTTGTTTTTGTTTTTTGTTTTTTGTTTTTTGTTTTTTATACCAGGAATTGACTCAGGATCTTACTCTTGTCAGGCAAGCACTTATGCCGCTGAGCTATATCCCTGGCCTACCCAGCACTTCTGATCAAGGTATATGGCTAAGAGAATTTCAACACATGTCCAAAAAATAAACCTATACATGCATGTCCATAGCAGCACCAGTTGTAATAGCCAAATTCCATCAGCTGATGAGTATATAAACAAAGTATGGTTACCCATGCAATGAGACATTATTCAACCATAAAAAGAACATATGCTGATTATGTGCTACAACAGAGGTCATATATTGTATACATTAATTTATCACGAATGTCCAGGATATGTAAAGCCAGAGACAGAAATCAAAAGAGTGGTTGCCAAAGAACTGGAGTAGAGTGAGGGATGGAAATGACTCTGTAATGGGGATGGAGTTTCCCTTGGAGGTGATGAAAATTTTCTACAATTAGACGACAGTGAGTATATGTATAATATCATGTATGTACCAAACCCCTACTTAATGATTAAACAATTAAAATGGGAATTTACCTTATGTGAATTCTACTGTGATTTAAAATTGTTTTGAATGTTCAAACCAGGTAAGGATGTGAGAAAATACTCACTCATAAAAATAAAGTGATAGTCACTCTGTGCATAATTCAGGTTCATTAAAAATAAGCTAGCTGTCTATAGATAATCACAGAGACATGTAACCCATACAAAGGCAAGTCACCTTAGGAGCTAGTCTCAGTGAAGTGCTACAAACAAGATTAAAAAAAACACACACAGTAATCTAGTCTCAAAATAATATGAAAGTATCTGTAATCTCTTAGGGTGATCCCTTAACAAGTGAAAGAAGTTTACCTCCACCCTGTCATATGCAATCATGGTCTAAACTAGTGAAGAATCCAAATCCAGTCTGTCTGGGTTGAATTTAGTTTTTCTACACATTCCCCTGGGCAAGTCATTTATTTAATTTTTTTTTTGCTTTCTTTTCTTTCGCCTAATTATAGTACCTACGGTACCTACTAGGGCTGCTGAGGGTTATATAAGTTAATGGAGCTTGGCATACCCTAAGACCTCAAAAAATGTTAGCAAACAAAAATCTGTTATCTCAACACCTGGCATCTGTTAATTAACCTTCTTCCTTCTGCCCCCAATCCCTACCTGTAATCCCCATGAACTCCCCTGTCTGCTTCTGTTACTGCATAGCGTATGTGGCTAGTAACTTTTGCTTTTTCCAAGGCAAACACAGGAAGGCCACTGTGGGCCCTCCACCTCTTCTCCCCTCTCCCTTCCCTCCCACAGGAGCTCAGTACTCAGAATTCCCCTTAGCAGCAAAAGGAGGAATCGGTGGCCGTGCTTAGCAGGGTGAACACATCCCAGGCGAGGTGGGAAATGGCCATGTTCCTTCTGCAGCACCTCATGTCACAAGTGTCACTGTGTGCCCAGCGTTATGCTAAGGGCTTCATACATCATCTCATTCAAATTTTGTGTTTCCCCATATTTTCAAAAATGTCCACAATGAATATGTTACGTCTATAACCAGAACATTTTATCTTCTATATGCATGCATTTACAAACGAGAGGCTCTACTAAGATGAAAGTCAAGTTGTTGAAGGTTGTAGAAACTACTGTAGTAGTTGTTCTTTTTTTTTTTGAGACAAGTCTTACTAGATAGTTTAGGCTGGTCTTGAATTCACTATGTGGTCCAGGATGGCCTCCAGCTCCTGGTGATCTTCCTGCCTCAGCCTTCTGGGTGCTGGTATTACAGGCATGCGCCACCACACCAGGCTTTATACTGTTTAAAGTGTGGAAGACGTTTCCTCGGGAAAAGCAAGGCTTGTCCTAGTCAGACACGGTAGCTATATTCAGCTTTCTGAAAGACATTGGGACGAGGACTTGAACTTGGTTCTGGGCCATTTCAAAAGGTGAGTTCTAATCAATAAGAGAAAAATCCTAGGGAAGCAAGTTTTTGCTCCACGTAATAATTTTCTTTCAAAAATTCGTTTCCAAATGGAAATTCATCTAAATCAACAAGTACTATGGATTTGTGCATCCCGAAGAAGGCTGGAGAAATCTAAAATCATTTTTTAACTCTGCAAATGTTTATTTGACACTGTTGTTATAGTAATGCAGGCCAGTCAGTAGAATCAAGAGTGTGTGTGTGTGTGTGTGTGTGTGTGTGTGTGTGTGTGTGTGTTGTCTGAGTAAGTGAGGACTAACATGGTTATGGGTTGCCTCTATGCAATGCTAATCTCGTTATTAAGTAACAGTGAGGACCGAAGCGGAGAGGCCTGTTTACGCAGCAATTAGGGAGATGACAGGCACCGCATGGTCAGGGCTGCTGTCCCAGCTCAGGTGAGTCGCACCGCACCCTCCCTGGCGGCTCCCTATTAGGGTCGCTTGCATAATTCCTTCCCTGCCCGAGGCTCTGCCTCGCGCTAGGAGCTGGGCTTCCTGATCCTCGGTCCTCTTTCTTCAGAACAGAGCCTCTGCTGGTTCACTTTCTCCGGCACAGATCTCCCCGAATTGCTTTGCCTCGGTCCCAGCCGCCCGTTGTCGCCGGCTGTCACGGAGTCCTTGTTGCCCAGCGAGTGCTCGGCGGGTCTAGGGCTCCACATCTCCGGCGCATAGTGCGGCCCTCGGTAAGTGCCGGGCTCCCTGCTGCCCTCACCCCTGCCCGACCCTGCCCGCGACTCCGACCCCGGGAAGCCCGATGGGGCCGGGTCTGGTTGGAGCAGTCCGGGCGGCGTTGGGGGCGCGCGGGGGCGGCGTCTCCACCATCGTCTCCACCGCCTGCACGGCATGCGCGGCCTCCGAGCCGCTGCGTCCGGGAGCTCCAGGGCGGGCGGGTGGTGCGGCCACCGCGGACCCCTGAGAGTGCAAAGGGGACGAGGCTAGGACCCTCGGACTCCGCCCGGGCCTTGCCGGACCCCCGGGCCCCCGGGACACCCAGGTGAAGACACAGCTGACCCGCGCGCAGGTCGGTGGCCGTAACGGTATGGGAGCCGCGCGCTAGGTCTGGGGTCGCCGGGCCGCGGGTAGGGTCCCGCGGGACTTCTCGGGCCGCCCTACAGGGGGCGCAGCTTTCCGGAGCCCTCACCTCACCTCGCCTTTCGGGCCGGTCTTGCGTCCCCCTGGCGGCTGCAGGTGCAGGGGACCCGGGTGGGCTCGGATAGCAGGGTGCGGTGCGCACTTGGGGACTCCGCCCCTGGCTTCCGCCCCTATCAGAGTTCGGGTACCCAGGCTGGACGCGGGCGGTGAGCGTTGCACGGGTGCGGGGTCCTGGGTGCCTCGTACTCCTACCAAGAGGTCGGAGTTTTATTCCACTTTAGGATTTATTCCGGGTACGCTGTCTTTCCAGTGCCCGCTGATGTAGCAGAGTGTGGCTGGGACCCATCCCTGCAACTTGCAGGGAGGGGACAAGGGTCCAAAGGCGTCTAAAGAGTGCACTGCCGGGCTGGGATGGGAGTTGTCTTGTTTGTAGTGGGAAAAACATGTTCTGGACTCTTTTGCGTTAAACAGCCCCCACTACTTCCCACGCGTCGAGAGGAAAGGATAGCACAACCTTTGGCCCCACTTTGGCCCCTCCAGCCAGGACCACTCCTGGGCAGGCTGAGGCTTCAGGAAAGTGGGGCGTTGGTACCATGCAGCTCAGCTTTCACACCTGCGCCGCCCTCAGGGACACTGACTTAGAAACGCAGGGCAGATGTGGCGCAGGTACAGGGTGACTCTTGCCAGCCAGCCGTCCCCCTACATCTGGTGGCATAGGGAAGATAGATGGGCACTCAGAAGCTGAAGGCTAAGCGAATGCTGACTGGCACAAGCAGGGAGTGGACATTTGGCTGATTTCAGCGCAGCCATTGATTGCCTCAGCCTCAGAGCTATTACATTAAGTGCGATCAGTCTTTGAGTTCAATTCATCTAAAATGTGAGCAGCACTTTGCTTTCCAATGGACTGCAAATTGAATCAGCAGTTATTGAACAACTATTGCCTGAGGCCGGGCCTAGGATTGCCCTGAACTGAAGCGGGGACAGGATTTCAAGAGCACTGAAAATGCCTAAAGTGCGTATATCCCACCGAGCCTGGGAGGGAGTGCCCTTTCCCAGGGACAAGCACTTAACAGGACAAATGGGGACTGTGGGATTCTCACCTGCAAGTCTTCATTATACGCTTTCAAGAGCCACTTGCACCATTGCTTGTACATAGTCACGCAGAGTGCGGGAACTAGCATTCTCTCTACAAGACCAACTCTGGCCTCAGGGAGCTCTCATTTTCCTGTTCTTTTTCCTTTCTGTGCCATCCACTGTGTGCTGTGTAAGCCTGTGCCAGGGCTCAAAAGAACAAGGACTGTATTCCCCAGAAATCAAACTAGCACGATGGAAGGATGAGGGAATAGATGATAGTGATTCTGCATTTAATACAGATAAGAACAAATAGTAGGAGCCCAGGGAAGGCCGGGTGGCAGGGATCAGGAAGAGCTTTCCGGAGGCATGGGTTTGGACTGGATCTCAGGGTGTGGTCAGAGTCCTCCAAGCAGATGCTGAGCGTCCCATGTAGAAAGGTCACCTAGGGGTCTGAGGTGCAGGTGGCGGGGAGTTGGAGGAGGTTGCAGTCAGCCTGGGTCAGCCTATGTCTCAGAGGAGGAACCCTGCAGACTTTATGGAACAGTGATTTAATCTAATGTATAGTTTGAAAAATGACTCTGTAAGTGGTAAGCTCAGATTGGAGTGAGACAGGCAAAAAAAAAAAAAAAAAAAAAAAAAACACCGCAGACAGGGAGAGAGATCTACAGAGACCTGTGCAGAGGGAGAATCTGTGGTATTTGGTCACCAGGTGGGCAGAGGGCTGGGGAGAAGAGCTTAGGTATTGCAAAGGATGCTCAGGCTTTTGGCTGAATTAGGGTGCAAAAGAGAAAGCAAGTTTGAGATAGATAGGGAATTTTAATTTTGAACATCTAAATGAAATCGCTCAGTAGGCGCTTGTATTCCTTCCTACCTGGCACTAACCTTTGACTGAGCTTCCTTTACCTGCAACCTTTGGAGAAGAGGCAGGTGAACCAGGGAACAGGAAGTTGTTCCTGCTTTTAGAGTGAATGTATTAACTCAATCATTCCAACTACCAATCCTGGCCATGTGTGAATAATAATAGTAATATCTAGAGTAATAATATCTAACATTCTAACAATGCTTCCTATGGGCTGAGCACATAGAAGTTAGACTTGCCTATAGCTTGTTGCTTTGGTCCTGCTGTAACCTATGGCAGGGACTGCTGTCGTTCTCACGTAACTGAAAAGGAAAGCAGGGGGAGGAGCAGGTGCTTGTGTGGGTCTCTTGATTAGTAAGAGGTGCTTCAACTCAGTGTGTAAGCCCAGATATGACCAGCACTCTGAATTGCCAACGTGTCTTACATAGTAACATTAAAATAATTCCTACTTAGTCTGGAATGTGTTTTGTCCCTATGTTTGGGTATTTGTGGCTGATGCCATAGAAGAGAACTGGGACTGAGTCAGAAGGCCTGATATACTGCAGCTTTTGTAAGCTCACATCCTGGCTCAGGTTGTAGTTATTTTAAATCTGTATAACCCCAGAACAAGATGTCAGCTTGATGCTCTCTCCAAGGAGTCTCTGTATCCTGAAATCTTGTCACCTTATTTAAGATTCTCCTAATAGACCCAGTGATGTGGCTTAAGATGATGCCTGCCTGGTTGCTTTTATAATAGGGTATAAGGGAAAGATTAACTCAAATAGCAGCTTGTTCTTCACAGCTTGTATGAATTGGTACACAATACAGACCTAAGGAGGGGGGGTTGGTGCCTGATGTTGGGGAAAACTGTGCAGGAACCCTAAAGCAGGGGAGTCTTTGAGGTCACTGACCACGTTCTTTACTTTAGAATGTGTTACTTAAATTTAGAGCATTTCCTCATGTCTGAAATACTGGGTAATTAATGCACACGTCATAAAGTTGATGCAAGAATTGGAACAGAAAATGTAAACCAGACACTGTTTACAAATCAGCCTCATTGGCCATACCTAGAAAATGGGGGTTCCCACCCTTTGTCCCCAGGGTAGCAGACATGGAGGAGGGGAAGGTACAGTATTTCTGAAGACAAACTTTCCTACTGGGAAGGTTCCATAACAACCATTCCTTTGTTAAGTGTCATCTGCCCATCTTAGAAAAATGACATATAGGTCTATGAAAACAGACAACAGGTTAAATCCGTTTCAAAAGGTGAATCTCTCAAACACTCATTAAAATATCACCCTCTAATATGTAAAGAACATTGTACCTAACTGAATTTTGGATTCTTCTTTTTCTAGTCTATAAGGAGAACAAGTTGTCATAAGGAAATGTAAATGCCTGTTGTTGAGAAAGAATCCTGGATTCCACTGTCATGGTGTAGACTCTCGAGGGGTTAATAACTTGCTGTTCTCCATGCACCTGTATGGGTGTTTGCATTTCCATCCCCCTGAGGCCTTTCCTGCCTCTGACTATAACATGCTATCTCTGTGTTACCAAATGCTAGGTGTCATATGTTTTAGGTTAAATTAATTAATCTAGTTGAGGAATAAAAGAGTGTCAAACTTCACTGAAACTGCTTTTTAAATATAGTAAGTTATGGGACTATGGATGGTACTTTCTAGAAGTTAAGGAATGCTTCCCGCAATAGCTCCAATTTCCTCCAATTCAGAATAGTCACGGAAATATCTTCTGTAATGCAGAGGGAAAGGGCTCCATTTTCATATATGACCTCCCATGCTTAGCACATATTGAAACAAGGAAGGAAAGACAGGGTTCCCAAGCTTTGGGGAAAAGAAATCACACATATAAACACACTTTTTTATTTTTGGACAAAAGAATTATGTAGTTTTTAAGCTCCATGTAGCTTTTATTACTCTTGCCTTAGTTCTTTGTGGAAAGAACTACTTTGTGCATTCGTATGACAGTTGTGCCTGCTGCAAAGCTTTATAAATATTCTGGGACCATGGGCCGTGCCTTGAACTTCTCGTTCCCTGTTAGGACACAGTATAAAAAGCATGAAGTTGGCACAAAGAGGCTGGGATTCCAGTCTTGGGGCTGTCACTTCCCAGCTATGTGACCTTGAGCTTCCCATCAACCTAATAGTCACAGGAGCTGGCATTTGTCACATGCGGCCTCTGTGCCAGATGCTTTGCTCAGCACACTACATATGTTGTCTCATTTAATCCTTATGACAACTCCTGGGCTGGGTATCATTGTCACTCTTCACAGAGGTGCACATTCTGAAGGTGGGGGGTCCCTGAGTGACAGTTATCTATCTGACTTGGAAGCGTGTGGGAGTGGAGGGATGCCCCCATGGATAGGAAACACCTTTCTGTGATACTCTGAGAAAACTGTGTCTCCTTATCCTATCCTTCCACAAAAAAACTCGTCCCCTTTGAGGGTCATTTATTTTATAGTCAGTATCACGAGTGGGCTGAGATCAGCCAGCAGGAGGCTGACAGGACCATAACCTGGATAAGGTGGTGATGGGGAAAGAGGGAGGTTTGTAGAGAAGTGAGGGCTGCCTGGGCAGGGTTTCAGTACAAACAGAAGACTGAGAGTCAAAACCAAGCTCAAGGAAGGAAGGACCTGATGTAAGGGGTGAAAAGAGAAGTCATCACC